TCAGGAACAAAACAAAGTTGCTAGAAAAGCTCAGCAAGTCTGGCAGCATCTGTAAAGGAAATTTCAGAGTTAACGTTTCGGGTCTGGTGACCCTCCCTCAGAACTGATGGTGGTTGGGGAAACATCAGTTTATATGCAGAAAACAGGGAGGTGGGTGGGGTAGGGAGTAAACAATAGGATAGAGCCCAAAGAGAGAGAAAGACAGTTGGCCAGACAAAGGAGTTGCTAACGATCAGGCTGGGAGGGTGAATAGTTTTTAATGGAGACTGTTAGTGACTAACAACAGGGGGTGTGTAATGGCAGGCTATGTGGTAACAAGGCCTGGTGTGTGAGGTGGGGGGCTGGGACATGGAAGAGTTTAGGCCCTAAAATTATTGAACTCCATATTGAGTCCGGAGAGCTGTAGGGTCCCCAAGCGGAAAATGAGGTGTTGTTTCTCCAGCTTGCATTGGACTTTGCTGGAACACTGCAGCAAGCCAGAGACAGATGTTGGCCAGGGAGCAGGGTGGTGTGTTGAAGTGACAGGCAACAGGTAGTTCAGGGTCTTTTTTGCAAGCAGAACATAGATGTTCTGCGAAGCGGTCGCCAAATCTACACTTCGTTTCCCCAATGTAGAAGAGATCACATTGTGAGCAGTGAATGCAGTAGACTAGATTCTGGGAAATGCAGGTGAAGTGTTGCTTCACCTGGAAGGTATGTTTGGACCCTTGGATATTGGGGAGGGAGGAGGTAAATGGGCAGGTGTTGCACTTTCGCGGTTACAGGGGAAGGTGCCGTAGGGCTGTGGGGGTGGTGTTGGGGGTGAAGGAAGTGAGGACCAGGCTGTCCCGGAGAGAACAATCCTTGCGGAAGGCGGACAAGGGAGGGGAATGTGTGTCTGGTAGTGGCATCTCACTGGAGGTGGCAGAAATGGCGTCTGATGATCTTCTGGATGTGGATGCTGGTGGGATGGTAGGTGAGGTTAAGGGGAACCCTGTTGCTGTTGCGGGAGGGAATAGAAAGGGTGAGGGCGGAAGTATGGGAGATGGGCAACTTTTTCATGCAGAGGGTAGGCATGTATGGAATGAATTGCCAGAGGAAGTGGTGGAGACTGATACAATTATAACATTTGAAAGACATCTAAGTGGGTAAATGAAAAGGAAGGATTTAGAGGGATATGGGCCAAATGCTTGAAAATAGGACTAGGTCAATTGAGGATATCTGGTCGGAATGGATGAGTTGAACCAAAGGGTCTGTTTCTGTCTGTACATCTCTACGGCTCTGAGTATAGTCACAATCTGTTTAGCCTTTGGTCATAAGACAATCCCTCTGTACCAGGGATCATGCCGGTGAGCCTTCTCTGAACTGACTCCAATGAAATATTACTCCCTTAATAATTGATTACAGTGCTTTTTCAACAATGGATCTTAGACTAATCAGTGTATCCTTCCATGCTTTTTGCTTCTGTCCCTTTTTGAATAGGGCTGTTACATTAGCAGTTTTCCAATTTTCTTTTACTTCTCAAGAATCCAAGAACTTTTGGAAAATTGAAACCAATGCATCGACTACCTCTTTTGTTACCTCTTTTAGAATTCTAGGATGCAAGACATCAGGGTCAGGGGACAGATCTGCCTTTAGCCTCATTAGTTTGTCTAATACTACTGCTACTTCAGTGATGGTGATGGTACTTGATTCCTTCCCCATATTCTTTAGTATTAATGGAAGGTTTGAAGTATCCTCCACCATAAAAACAAAACTGATGCAAAATATCTGTTTAACTTCCCAATAACCATCTCCTCAGATTCATTTTCTAAGGGGCCTATGTTCACTTTGACCCCTCTCTTTGTTTTTGTATACTAACAAAGCTCTTTTCGTCAGTTTTTATGTCTCTTGCTAGTTTGCTCTTGTTGTTTATTTTCTTTCTTTCTTTCTTATCTTTTTAGTGTTCCTTTGCTGGATTCTGAATTTATCCCAGTCTTCAGTGCTATCACTGGCTTTTGTATGCTTTTTCTTTAACTTCCTTGGTTAGCTATGGTTGATTTATCCCGCTTTTAGAATCTTTCCTCCTCACTGGGATGTATTTTTGTTGAAAATCGTGAATTACCACCCCCCCCCCCCCCCCCCCCCCCAAAAAAAAAATCTGCCACTGCTTGCTTCCTGTCATTCCTGTTAATCGATCCACCTAGTTCACTTCAGTAATTCCCTTTAATTGAGTTAAATGTAGTTGCTTCCAATCCAAGCTACTCACTCTCTAACTGAATATTAAATTAACTACTTCCTAGGAGATCACTTAATCTGAGGTCATTTATTAAATCTGCCCATTGCCCATTACCAGATCTAAGATAGCCTGCTCCCTGGTTGGCTCCATGACGTATTGCTCTAGGAGACTATCCCTAATGTACTCTGAACTTGTTGTAGCTACCCATTCCAATTTGATTAATCCAATCAACATGAAGATTACAGTTCCCCGTAATTATTGCTGTATTCTTTTTACATGCTCCTTTTATAAAGTAGCTACTACTTGGAGGTCTGTACACTGCTCTTATGAACATCTTTCCCTTGCTGTTCTTTTTTTTTAATCTCTGCCCAAATGAACTCCTCATCATCCGAGCCTTGATTGTCTCTCAACTGTCTCATTTTGTCTTTTTTTAACAGAGCTACCTCACCATCTTTTCCATTCTTCCTGTCCCTCTGGAAGGTCAAAGATCCTTGAATGTTAAGTTCCCGGTTTTGATTTCTTTCTAACCATTTTTCTGTAATGGCTGTGAGATCATATTCACTTACTGCAACTTGTGTGTTCAACTCATCTACTTTATTCTGAATGCTCATGCATTAAGATACAAAGTCTGTTAAGATACAAAGTTTGTTCTATAATTGAGTTTCCCTACACTTTTATGGTTCCTTGGTACAATATGACATTCATACATTCTGTCTCTTCCTTTTATTTTCTGGTAATGATCGGTCCTGCATCCTTCCTTCTCCTTTACCTTTGATTTTCTAATATTCCATGTAACTGAACACCCCCCACTATTTAGATTAAGGCCCTGGGATCTTTGTGTAATTATGTCCCAGATTGCAACACAAGTCTAGGTTTTGCTCCTCTGGACTTTGGAAAATTTGTACCCATATTTAGTGTTCTTTTAGCTGCTGGAAGTTCACCTGTGTCTTCCATTTTTTAAATTTCCTTCCATTTCACTGTCTCCCTTGTCTCTCTTTATCTGCAAACGTTTGCACTTGCGTACAGTTCCTTTTTTAACAGACTGAAAAATAAATGTTACCTGGAAAAAGTCTGTGGAATTTATCCTCTAGCATGTCTTCAGCTACTTTTTAAAATAAATAAATAGATTTTACTGAACCTCAGAGGCATGTAACCAGTGGAAATACTATGGCTGCATCTTAGTGAATTGTGTGAACTATGCAGCTCAAACTGCTGGATGCCAGTGGACATTGTTGTTTCTCTGGGCAAACTATCCAGTCAGACATTAGATCAACCTCTCCTTATAACACAGTCCCTCCATACCTGGTAACAGCATATACCAGATCTGCATATTCTGAATACTGAAAATTCAATCCTCTATCTTTCTAAAAAAAAGTACTCTTTAGACCAAATTATAAATCATCAGTAAAAGCAATCTAGAAGGGGAGGGGGGAAATCAGGAGGAAATGTGAATCTGTTGAAAGAGCCACTTTGAAGTGTCGGCTATGCTAGTTCCAAGTGCTTTAATACAATTATGTTCCATTTAATCTCTGAATTATTTTTATATTTGAACCCTCAAGTTCCACATTAATGTTTTTCCAAGATTACTATTCTGTTTTTTGACCTACCACTTATCTAATTAAATACAATAGAGAATACTTTCATTTACTATTTTAAAGCATTATCTGCCTCCTTGTTTACATTTCTCAATGAGAAATTCATGCATTAATGAACAAATTCAATTTTAAAAATTAAGTTGGCCATTAAATACAGGTAGGATTTACTTTTCCTAGGACTCACCCACACCACAATGGAAATACTGCGACCCCACTGCCAGGAGTGGTAGCAGTATAACTGATATATCCTTTAATACCTTCATTAAACATTTTGCTTGAAGATCTAATGTATACTGTATACTTAACCCTTGATTCCCTTGCTGATTATGTGGAAAGAGCAGGAAAGTGGAGTTACTGATTATCAGATCAGTCATGATCTCATTCAGGATTGGATCAGACTCTGCGCTGATTGGCCTACTTCTATTTCTTATGGTTTTATAATGCAGAAGTTGCAGGTTTTCTTACAATTGCAATTTTCCCCCTACATACTATGCCCTAAAGCGTTTCTGGAGGCCATGGACTTTACTTTTTTGACATTCATGTTGGTTCAGGTTTATGCCAGCAAAGTATTGTAATAGTTTGCTGTTCCTTTCTGCAGTGTGGCTAACGAGCAGAGTCTTGCACTTACTGCAGTTAGGCATATTGAAAGAATTTACAAGTTTATAATTGACCTGTTTAGCCACGTTAGGAACACGCCCTCGTTCATAAGTGGGAGTCAAACCAAAAGCTTCTGAGACAAAGGTGAGGAATGCTACCCACTATGCCACAGAAACTCTGCAAGCTGCCTCTACTCTATCCCAAGTTTCATAAGATAATACCTTACAGTACTGTTTGCATTTCCTGAACAGCCATTTCTGTTGTCCTAGTGGCTACTTCTGCTATATCACTAGGAATTTTGTTAAAATGGCCAAACCCATTTCTTATAGGACTCATGTAATTAGGAAACCAAACACAATTTATTTCCATTTCTCAAGCTAATTTTGACTTGGGTTCTAAAGGTGAAAGTCTGTATCTGACACAGTGTTGCTTAATTACGTTAACATATTATTTAGAGGAGATATTTAAATACATTTGAAATAGTTCGAAATCTAATTGGTAAGGTTAATTGTTGAAACTTACAGATGCTTTTTTGCTATTCATAATATTGTGAATATTTTCAGTCTTGTCTAGTGAGAATTAATTTCCAACCATTGTTTTCCTGTGCCAAGCCCTACAAGCCCCAACAGTCCTAATGGACCTCCAAGTCCTGTTACTCCTGAAAGTCCTACCAGCCCTGTATCACCATCTGGAAGCCTAACCAATCACTCTGTGCATGGACATCATCTGCATACTGTTGGAGGAATTGCAGGGAAAAGCACGTGCTCACGTTGCAGCCATCGAAAATCGAAGCAGTCAAAGGACTTCAGAAGGAGTCGAGCTGGAGAGGTCACAGTATTTGCTGTGGGAAGGTAAAATATATTGTGGAAAGCTAAAAGTATGGTGAATGGTTTGCATTTCATTTGTCCTGTGTAATCGAGTAATCGGCTCGAATTCTAAAGGGTTCTATTTGCAATCTGCAAATATTTAAAACATTCATTTAACCCTCATTTTTTTTGAATGCTTAATAGAAGTAAATAGAATGTCATCTCACTGTTGGAAATCTACTTCAATATTTTCTATGTGGAAACTAAGTGGAGAACTTTTAAGAATTGGATGAAAGATGAATCTGCTAAATGGCGTGCTTGCTAAACAGAGTAAATGGGCAGTGATGGAGGTGCGAAGTGATTTTAAGCTAAGGGCCATTGAAAATTAAAACATATAAATCAGAATAATTAAATTTAAAGAGATATGAGCATTAAAATAATCCAAATTGCATTGGATAGATCTGGTGTGCGTAAGTAATAAACAAACCTAGGAAGATGCTAAAATAAAAGATGACATTTAATGTGGAGGGTTATAGAGAAATTTTGCAGGATGAGTTTTGTAGCACAACTTTAAAGGGGTGCTCACAAATCTGCAAAGGCAGAAGGGGAGGCTGATTAAGGGTGCTTATAAAAGGCACGTGCGGACTTTGTTGAATGAAGCAGAGTCCTGAAGTACAGAAGTAAGGAAGCTGTGCTAAGCCTTTATGAAGATTGGTTATGCCCTGGCTGGGGTATTGTGTTCAGTTCTGGGAACCATGCTTGAAGGAAAATCTGTCACCTGTTCTAGACTCCCCAGATGAGAGACGTGCCCTGAGTCTGCCCTGTCCAGCTCATATTAATAGTTTTGAATGTATAAATCTCTCGTTCTTCTAACCTCAAGAGAATAGACCCAACTTACTCATCCTGTTATCATAGACAATCCCCTGATCCCAGGGACCAATCTGGTGAACTTTTGTCTTACTGCCTCCGATATAAATACAAGTCTCTTTCTCTTATTGTTAAATTTGCAAGAATTTGATTGCAGCATTGAGTCTATAATACCCCAGCATTCTCTAATTCATAAAGCCATCATTGATGTAACAACACATCATGCTTCATAGACAGATGGTTTCCATGGCAATCCAAATATTTGGCAGTGCTTTTGGACAAAGAAGGTAATGTATATTTTACAGTGCAGGGCATGGTGGATTGGATAATGAGTAAAACAACCACAGAAAATGCTGGAGAATCTCAGCAGGTTTAGTAGTACCTGTTGAGAGAAAAACAGAGTTAATATTTCAAGTCTGATGTGACTCCTTCCACAGATTCAGTATCCTATAAGAGAAAACTTCCTCCTCTGTCTTAAAAAGGCAACCCCTTCGTCTGAGATTATGCCCTCAGGTCCTAGACTTTCTGACAAGAGGAAACAACCTTTCTACATCTTCTCATCCCCCAATGTGTATAAGCCAATCTACTCAACCTTAGCACCATACACCATTTTTCTGTGGTATCCCTGTATCCCTTGTTAAAATCTTAGAAACCTATCAAGCTCTCCCTTGAACATACTTAACAACTTAGCCTCCACAGCTGACCGAGACTAAGCATTTCAAAGATAAACCACCCTCTGAGTAGAGATTGTTCCTCATCTCTGACATAAATGTTTGCCCTTGTTATCGAAAGTCCAGCCAAGAATCAACTTTGAGAATCTCTCTGCTCCGATGCCAGTATATCTTACCTTGAATAAGGGACCCAAAACCATTCACATTTTTAGCTGTGGTCTGACTAGTATCTTGTATAGTTTTAGCAAAACTATTTTTTTAAATACTCTTTTCCCTTTGAAATAAAGGCCAGCATTTCATGTACCCTCCCTATTACCCACTGAACTTGGATGCTCGTTTCCTGTGATTCCTGCAAGAAGTCCCCTAAATCCCTCTGTGCTGCACCGTTCTGCAGTCTTTCTCCATTTAAATAATAATAAGCTCTTTTCAAACAGCAAAAGCGCACCTGTCTATATCTTCGTCTAGACTCTTTGTTGTCCTCATTATTTGCCTTACCACCAATTTTTGTATCATCCGCAAACTTGATGATTGTACATTCGTTTGCCTCATCAAAATCATTAATATATTTTGTAAGTAGTTCTGGTCCTAGCACTGATTCCTGTCGTACTGCACTACTTTCAGATTGTCATCCTGTTAATGCCACCTTTTATCCCAGATCTATTTTCTGTTAGTTAGCCAGTCTTTAATCCACACTAATATTCTACCCCAACTGTGTGTGCTTTTCCCTTACTAAGTAGCCTTACATACAGTATGTTATTGAACACCTTTTGGCGATCCAAATATCCACTGGTTCCTCATATGATATTTGGAGTATTACGTGAGGTTGAATCAGGAAAGATGCACTTGCACAGAAGAAGTGGAATAAATGTTTACAAACTAATTCCTAGAATGGAAAGATTATCCTATGAGAAAATCTTAAATATACTGGGCCTTTTTTCTATGGCGTTTAGAAGATTGAGAGGTGATCTCATTCAAATATACAAAATTCTTACAGGACTTGACCAGAATAAATACAGGAAGGACATTTCTCCTGGCTGGAATGCCAATAACGAGGGATAGGTATTTCTGACAGATGAGGAATGATCTCTTTACTCAAAGTGTGGTTTATCTTTGAAATTCTTAGCCTCAAGAGACCTGTGGAGGCTATGTCATCGAACACATTCAAGGCAGAGCTTGGTAGATTTCTAGATCTAAATGAGGGATAGAGGGATAGTGCAGGAAAATGGTGTTAATGCAGAAGTTAACTATAGGCGGGGTAAATATAGGCTAATTTAGCTTAACATTCATTGTCAGAAAAATGTTGGAATCGATTATTATATTTGGAATGCAGGATATTTGGAAAATCATAATCTAATCAAGCAGAGATAGCATGGCTTCAAGGAAGGGAAATTGTATCTGACTGATTTTTTTTTTATATAGAGATTTTTTGAGGAAGTCTGAACCAGTGTTGAATTTGGACTTCCAGAAGGTCTTCAGAAAGATACCTCACAAAAGATTAACCATAATCCTATTGAATAGCAGAGTAAATTTGAGGGACCAAACAGCCTACTGTTGTTGCTATTTCTTATGGTCTTATTGTTTAAGATCAGCCATGATCTCCATGAATAATGAAGTGGGGTGGGAGGGGAGGTGTGGCGGGCTCCTGCTCCTATTTCTTATGTTCTTAAAATTAATTTCTATACTAGCAGGCTGAGCACTGTTACACCATGAGAGTTCTCTTTTATGACAAGTTCTGAATGTTTGTTGTTTAAACTCTCATCGTCAGGAGACACTATATCAAGATTGAAACAGTGGACTAAATGTGAATATTCTTTTGGGAGAGTAATATATATTTAGAAATTAATGTGTATTTGGAAAGAGAAATGAATTAAGATGTAAATATCAATTCAGTATTTGTATAATGCTTGTGTAGATGACCCATTCCCACTGTTTTGTCCTCCTAGGTTTCGTGTTACACATGTTGATCCTAAACCTCATTCTAATGATCAAAAGGTGTTGATTGCTGCACCTCCAGATATGTGTAATGAGGCAAATACAGACAACCAAGAAGAGCCAAACTCACCAGGAAGATTGGATGTAAAAGAGGTGAGTGAAACTAGCCACTTAAAAGACACAATTGTTTCCTGCCCAGTAGGAAAACAGAGCATCCCTGAGTTTCATGTAAATATTGTGCTTTACCGGAATCAGTCATTCCACAATTTTATTTCCACCTTTTATAACATCACCAACTTTGCCCCTGTTTCAGCTGCAGAAACTCTCATTTGTGTTATTATTGCATCTTAAGTTTGAAATTCTGATACCCTGGTGAATTTGTACCCTATATAAATTTGAGGTCATCCAAAACTCTGCAGTCTTTTCCATAACTCGCTCTCAGCCATATTCACCTCTCAACCCTGTGCTCACTGACCTACCTTGGCTCTTCTTAAGCTACTTCTTGATGTTAAAGTTGTAATCCTTGGTAGTAATTCCTTCCGTGGTCTTGCTCCTTCTTCCTAATCTCCTCCAGCTTCATTATCTTTTGAGCTATCTCCATTCAACTAATCCAGGCTTCCTGACTGTCCCCAATGTTAACTGTTCCACCATTGGTTTCTGTGAATAGAAGATCCACTTAACAATGTGAATTTAACCTGGTCCCTGAGGATTGGCTGGGAGGTAGGTGGTGAAGGTTGAAATGTGGTCTGCCCCGTGGTGCAGTGGTAGGGGGAACCTACAATTCAGGCACTTTAATGGATGTAAGGTTACAAGAACGCTGTACCCTCATTGCGCCTGCTGCTTTGATTGCCCTGGATTTTGGGCCCATTGTTTGGAGTCTTATTTCAAGAACACAATTCTGATCAGCGTTTCAAGTCTGACTCTTTATCAATCACGAACAAGACAGAAGGTTTGGATGTACTGAGGATTGTCGATAACTGAAAGTATCTTCAAGCCATTTGTTAGAAAAATAATTTGACATTTTTGCATGGAACCTGCTTAGTTCTAAAAATTTCTGTAATATCTTTTCAGGAAACTTTGCAGGAAACAAAGGATTTGCAGAGAGTTTTGTGATTCGGTAAGGTATTTTTTTCATTTCTAGAGATTTGAAATTATGGGATTGTCTTCGTTCTTTTGATTTAATTAGTCTCCTCTACCAAGAGGTATATCCACTTTCATGTTTGGTTGAATGGCCTACTCTTTGTTTCTATGTCTCATTGAAGAGAAGAATGGTTGAGGGCTTGCATCCAGGGTTAGGGTTGAGGGCCCAATAGCTGTTTCTCTCCCGTTTCAATCAACGTGTTATAAAATTTTAGGATTTGAGTTTAATTTAAAAAATATTTCCCATTAGCTAATACCATTGTGCAAATTAACTAATCAAGTTCCAGGTTTCAGCTGGGTCAGTACTTGGAACCACGATGTTGTGGCCATTACAGAAACTTGGGTAACTCAGGGACAGGAATGGTTGTTGGAAGTTCCAGGATTTAGATGCTTTAAAAGAAATAGAGAGGGTGAAAAAAGAGGCGGGGGAGTGGCATTGCTAGTCAGGGCTAGTATAGCAGCTACTGATGGGCAGTTTGAGAATGATATGTCTACAGAGTCAGTTTAGGTTGAGGTCCGGAACAAGAAAGGAGCAGTCACTTTGGGGTTTTTTTACAAATCCCCTAATAGTTGCAGAGAAGTGGAGGAGCGGATTGGGAGGCAGATACTGGAAAGGTGCAGAAGTCACAGGGTTGTAGTCATGGGTGACTTCAACTTTCCAAATATTGATTGGAAACATTTTAGTTGTAATAGTTTAGATGGAGCAGATTTTGTCCAGTGCGTTCAGGAAGGATTCCTGACACAGTATGTAGATAGACCAACACGAGGAGAGGCCACTTTGGATTTGGTGCTTGGCAATGAGCTGGGCCAAGTGTTAGACCTGTTGGTAGGAGAGCATTTTGGCGGTAGCGATCATAACTGTTACTTCTACAATAGTCACGGAAAAGGATAGGTACATACAGCAGGATAAGGTTTTATAATTGGGGGAAGGGTAATTACAATTCTGTTAGGCAAGAACTGGGTAACATAAAATGGGAACAGATGCTGTCAGGGAAGAGCACTATTGAAATGTGGAGATTGTTTAAGGAATGCAAACTGCATGTGCTCAATATGTTTGTCCCTCGCAGGCAAGATGCGGTCGAGTGAGGGAGCCTTGGTTCTCAAGAGAGTCGAACGACTGGTTAAGAGGAAGAAGGATGCTTATGTGAGGTTTAGGAAACAAGGAACGGAAAAGGCTCTAGAGGGATACAAGTTATCCAGGAAGGAGCTGAAGAAGGGGCTTAGGAGAGCTATAAGCGGGCATGAGAAAACCTTGGCAGATGGGATATCGGAAAACTCCAAGGCTTTTTACACGTACGTGAGGAATAAGAGAATGACCAGAGAAAGGGTAGGGCAAATCAAGGATTGTGAAGGGAATTTGTGCACGGAGCCTAAAGAGATAGGAGAGGTCCTTAATGAATACTTTTCTTTGGTATTCACAACTGAGAGGGACCTAGTTGTCGAGGAGGACAGTGTGAAACAGGCTGGTAGGCTAGAGAAGGTTGCTGTTAGTAAGGAAGATGTGCTAGGAATTCTGAGGAAGTTGAAGATAGATAAGTTCCCCGGGCCTGATGGGATTTATCCAAGGATTCTGTGGGAAGTGAGGGAAGAGATTGCAGGGCCTTTGGCGATGATCTTTTCGTCCTCACTGTCCACGGGTATAGTGCCGGAAGATTGGAAAGAGGCAAACATCATTCCCTTGTTCAAAAAAGGGAACAGGGATAACCCCGGAAATTACAGGCCAGTTAGTCTTACGTCAGTGGTGGGCAAATTATTGGAAAGGGCTCTGAGAGATAGGATTTATGATCACTTGGAAAGGGCACAGTTTGATTCGTGATCATCAGCATGGATTTGAGAGAGGTAGATCATGCCTCACAAACCTTGTTAACCTCTTTGAAGAGGTGACCAAACACGTGGATGAAGGTAGAGCAGTGGATGTGGTATACATGGATTTAAGTAAGGCGTTTGATAAGGTTCCCCATGGTAGGCTCATGCAGAAAGTAAGGAGGCATGGGATAGGGGGAAATGTGGCAGATTGGATTCAGAATTGGCTGACCCTTAGAAGACACAGGGTGGTAGTGGACGGAAAATATTCAACATCGTGCTCAGTTACGAGTGGTGTACCACAAGGATCTGTTCTGGGTCCTCTTCTATTTGTGATTTTTGTAAATGATTTGGATGTAGAAGTGGCAGTGTGGATTAGTAAGTTTGTGGATGATACAAAGGTGGGTCGCGTTGTGGACAGTGCAGAGGACTGTTCTAGGTTACAACGGGACATTGATAGGATGCAGAGTTGGGCTGAGAAATGGCAGATGGAGTTTAACCCTGAAAAGTGTGGGGTGATTCATTTTGGAAGGACAAACTTAAGATCTGAATACAGGGTTAACGGAAAGATTCTTGGCAGTGTGCAGGAGCAGAGGGATCTTGGGGTTCATGTCCACAGTTCCCTGAAAGCTGCCACCCAGGTGGATAGAGTTGTTAAGAAGGCGTATGGTGTGTTAGCTTTCATTAATAGAGGGATTGAGTTCAAGAGCCATGAAGTTATGTTCCAGCTATACAAGAGCCTGGGTCGGCCACATCTGGAGTATTGTGTCCAGTTCTGGTCACCTTATTACAGGAAAGATGTGGAAGAGTTGGAAAAGGTGCAGAGGAGATTTACCAGGATGTTGCCTGGAATGGAGGGAAGGTCTTACGAGGAAAGGTTGAGAGAGCTCGGGCTTTTCTTTTTAGAACGACGAAGGACTTGATGGAAGTGTACAAAATGATCAGAGGTATAGATAGAGTGGACAGCCAGAGACTCTTTCCTAGGGTGGCGGTAGCTATTACGAGGGGGCATAGTTTTAAAGTGAGTGGAGGTAGATATCGGGGAGATGTCAGAGGTAGGTTTTTTACTCAGAGTAGTGGGGCATGGAATGCATTGCCGGAGTGGGTAGTGGAGTCTGCCTCCTTAGGGGGCATTTAAACGGCTATTAGATAGGCGTATGGATGATAGTATAAGGTAGGGGTGGAGGTTAGATAGACCTTAGGATTAGGGTAAAAGTTCGGCACAACATCATGAGCCGAAGGGCCTGTACTGTGCTATACTGTTCTATGTTCTATGTTTCGGAGCTTGATTGTATTAGCATCTGATCTGAGACAACAATATTACTCCTGAGCTATGGACGACACTCCTAACTCACTCTCAAATCTTTAAAATCCCAGAAAACAAACACCTCATCTTGTACAGATTGTATATCCTCTGGTTCTATGCTCCATAAATATCTAGAATAATTTACTCATTTATACTGAGACTAATTATGTCTTATTGAAAATCTTATTCCATTCCTTCATGGCTTGTAGACATCGCTGACTAAGCCAGCATTTCTTAACTCTTACTGCCCTTTAATGTGGTAGTGAGCCACCATGTTAGATTCGTTACAGTCCATTTGGTGTAGGTGTACACACAATGCTATTAAGAAGGGAGTCCCAGGATTTTGACGCAGTGGCAGTGAAGGAATTGTGATGCGTTCCAAATCGGGAAGGTGTATGGCTAGGAAGGGAACTTGCAGGTGATGCTGGAGGTGTTTCCATGCGTCCTCTGCTTTTATTCTTGTAGACGATGGAGATTGTAAGTTTGGAAGGTGCTGTTGAAGGAGACTTGATGGGTTGCTGCAGTGCGTCTTGTATGGGACACATTGCTAGCATTGTGCACTGGTGGTGGATTGGGGGTTGGATCGGGGCGCGGGGGAAGGGCCTCTCAAGGAGAAAACATCAGCCCGATCAATGGCACCACAACTGGCACTGTTGTCCAGCAGGGAGAGTCGGACAGCAGTTGTGATATGGGACTCTATAGTCAGGCATTTGTGTGGCTGGAAGCCATTCTCCAGGATGCTGTGTGGCCTGCCTGGTGACCGGGTCAAGGATGTCTGAGTGGGCACACAATGTCCTGAAGGAGGAGGGTGAACAGCTGGAGGTTGTGATCCATTTTAGTACCACAACATGGGCAGAAAGAGAGATGAAGCCCTACAAAGGGAGTTGGGTACGACGTTGGAACATAGAACCTCTAGAGTTCTAATCTCGGAATTACTTCCTGTGCCACGTGCCACGTGCCAGTGAGGCTAGGAGCAGGAAGGAAGTGCGGTCAAATATGTGGCTAAAGAGCTGGTGTAGGAGGGAGGACTTCACATGTACGGATCATTTTGAATGTCTTCCGGACAGGAGGGACCTTCACAAGATGGGGAAGTTGCATCTAAGCTGAAGGGACACCAATATCCTGGCAGGGAGGTTTGCTAGCACCACTTGAGAGCGTTTAAACTAGTGAGGAAGGGGAGTGGGAACCAGAGCAGTAGGTCAGCAAATCTGATTAGGAGGAGTCTGAATCTAAGGCCAGTAAGACAAAAACAAAGAACAGACTGGGAGAAGTGACTAAACATGATGGGACTGGTGGTCTAAGTGTATTCAAGATGAATATGACAGATGAGGCAGAAGAACTTAGAGCTTGGTACATATAATTATGATGCTGTAGTTATTACAGAGACTTAGTTGAGAGACAGACAAGACTGGCAGCTTAATGTTCCGCGGTTTAGATGTTTCAGGCATGATAGAGGTGGAAAAGAGTTGGGGAGTTGCATTAGGGACAATATCTCAGCTGAACTGAGGGAGTACACCTTGGAGGACTCATTCAGTGAGGCCATATGGTTAGAGCTCAGGAATAGGAAGAGTGCCTTCACTTTATACTACATGTCTCCCAAAAGTCAGTGGAAGATAGAGGAACAGATATATGGATGGATTATGGACAAGTGTAAAAACAACAAGGTTGTTGTGATGGGTGATTTTTAACTTCACCTATATTGACTGGGACTTGCTTAGTGCTCGGGCATGGATGAGGGAGAATTTGTTAGGTGTGTCCAGGATGGATTTTTATTTTGTTTTGAAATAGTATGTAAATAGTCCAATTAGGGAATGGCCAAACTAGACCTGCTACTGGGGAATGAGCCCTACCAGGTGATTGACATTTCAGTGGAGGAGCATTTCTGGGACTGACCATAATCCTTTAAGGATAAGGAGGATAACAAGGTTATATCACATGGAATGCAGGGAGAACTAGCCATTTAGATACAAAATAGGCTTGAAGGTAGAAGACAGAGGGTAGTGGTGGAGAGTTGGTTTTTGGACTGGAGACCTGTGCCAGCGATGTGCTGCAAGGATCCATTCTGGGTCCACTGCTTTTTGTCATTTTATATAAATGATTTGAATGCGAATATATCAAGTATAGTCAGTAAGTTTGCAGATGTCCCCAAAATTGGTGGCGTTGTGGACATTGAAGAAGGGTTTGTTGTCCATGCTAATTACTTTTGATCTGAGTGGCTTGCCAGATCATTTTAAACATTGCTGTGAGTATGGAGTCATATGTAGGCTAGACCAGGTAAGGATGGCAGTTTCCTTCCCTAAAGGACCTTAGTGAACCAAATGGGTTTTTCCAATAATTGATAATACTTTCATGGTCACCATTAGATTCTTTAATTTTAGATTTTTTTTTTTTTAAATGGAGGATTACTGCTTTTGCAGAATACTTGTGCCTTTTAGGTGTCAGACCTATCACTAGACCCAGACTCTGATCAAAACTAATCATTATACTGCAGACCACTTGTTTCTTGCTGTCTATTGCACTTGTTTGATGGACTGATTTCCTAATATTCAATTAGAAAGCAAAAGCCTTAGCAATGTACAGGGTTTTATTGTAAATCTATAATTTAGCAGAAACACCAGATTCCACCTTTTTTGTTTTCTGTATCTCTTGCTCTGTCCGGAAGCCAGCTCCTAACTTGGGAAGAACCCACCTCCTTAAAAAGCACTACCAACCAAACTGAATCCCCAATTATATAAGTTATAGTAAACACTGTCCACCAGTGGCATTGGACCATTACAAGAATCAAGTCTGAGAGGAAGCCAAGGAGAGACCAAATTAAAATGGTGTTAGTAGGGGAGATGATTCATTCCACGGTTTGAAGTTGCTGGTTGACAACGTGCTTTCTCTCCAAAAGCCTACAGGAAGAGATATAGCTGAGGTAGCCTGTACTTGAATATGTAGCCAATTAACATCTGCTTTGTGTTCATTGGAATTTAGTGCCTTCTTTTCGGACTATTTGATTTGTTTATTGTAGTCACGCAAACAAGGACATGTAGATCATAGGGTGCTCAGAGAGAGTGAGGGATACAGGTTACAACTGCACAGGAGATGTTCAAGTCAAGATCAACATTATTTGAAGTCCGAGAGGTCCATTCAGCAGTCTAATAACAGCAGGGACACAGCTGTTTTTGAACCTATTGGTGCATGTGTTCAAGCTTCTGTATCTTTTGCCTGACAGAAGAGGTTGGAAGAGAGCATTATGGGAGTGCAAGGGGTCTTTGTTGGCAGCCTTTCTGCAATGAAAAGTGTAAATGGAGTCCATGGATGGGAGTTTGGCTTCCGTGATGGTCTGGGCTGTGCACACAACCCTCTGTAGTTTCTTACGGTCCTGGGCAGAGCGGTTGCCATATCAGGCTGTTATGCACGTGGATAGTATGCTTTCTATGATGCATCTGTAAAATTGGTGAGGATCCTTATGAACATGCTGAATTTCCTAAGCTGCTTGAGGAAGACGAGGTGTTGTTGGCCTTATTGACAGTTGCAACTACGTGGGAAGTCCAGGACAGATTGTTGGTTATCATCACTCCTCCTAGGAACTTGAATCTGACGACCCTCTCAACCTCCGCTCTTTTGATGTAGATGGGAGTGTGTCATCCTCCTTTCTTCCTGAAGTCAATGATCAGTTCTTTTGTTTTACTCAGGACAGTAGGGCTGGCATGGTAATTGCTATGACTTTCAGTCAGTCCCCAATTTCACCATTACCTCCCTCGCCCTCAAACCTCATGGAAAGGAAATGCCATATACCCCTCTTATTATGATGTGAGTAAACCCTCTAACTTTTGGCTCCATTCCTAGAGATCCACCACTGTGCCATCCTTTTGCCAAACGCCCACTGACTACCTGACCAGTAGGCAATCTGGTTGGATTTTGGATGGGTGTCTGGGTTTATTTATTCAAATGCAGTTTGGTGTTAGGACTAGAAATACTTCCACATTGCTGATCTACCAGTGCACCCTGCTATTGCCAAAGAGCTAGCCTTTTTTTTTACAAAAAAGATTGTAGGCCTTGGGTCTGACCCATGTTGGGAGGAATGTTTTATATTGTTATTCTTTTGGTTTGAATGACATTTTAATGAAAACATTTTCAAATGGAATGAGCATCTCTGCTGAACAATGTTCTGTTTAATTGCTAATAATAATGAAACTGAATGTCTTCTCTTCTGTTTTCAATAAGAATGAACCTCTTAGCAGGGGATACGTGAACACTTCAGTCAAGAACAGATTGAGGAGTGATGAATATTTGAGTGAAAACCAAAGTATGAAGTTGACATTTGCATCGATGATTGTGCGAAAGTTGGATTTTTTTTCCGAATGTCTTTTGTTATATTTTTATAATGTGTTTATATGTGGGAATTCACAAGATAAAAATTAGCAATGATCAAATCATATTAATTAGATTAATTTTCTTCTTTGAACCTCGAATCTATACATTGGGACTAAATGGTCAACATAATCATTTAAAAAAAATTCTGCATCCACCATTCCTACCTGTTGTCATAACTAACTTCATGCTTCATAGTTGCATTCCGTTTCCTTGTATATTTCTGAGTGTTCTAATTCCTCACCTGATTTTCAAAAATAAGAAATATTCTAATTATCATTGATTCAACTTAACAGGATTTTAATGATCATAATGCTGTAAATTACATCCATTAGAAATGGGAGCCCATCTCAGAACAAATAAGCTGATCGTAAATTTTCAGGGTTTTTTTTGTTGCTCTTCATTAGTGTGTACATGAAGCATTTGTGGATTTGGCATGGTATAAATGGGGATAAGAAGGATTTTATTCTTTGAAATGCTATGACTGTAGGCATATGAATGGTATAATTCTAGATAATGACTTAACCTCTGCCCCAAAATATATTCAACTGACCAAGAAACAGTCTGACACTGAGCTACAATGCCGTAGGACTGTACACAATTGGATGGACCTAATTAATTTTGTTTCCTTTACAACAGGAAAGTAGGCAGTCATACTATTTTAAGGCAGTTTCTTCTGATATTGGGGAGGGGAAAGTCTGACCTGAGTGCGAAAGAATTTGCCTTTTATAGAAGAAAAACTGTGCCTTTAATCTTTTCCAGTTACTTAATGTTAACAACATCATGGTATTAAATGGTTTGAGGACAAAAGTACCAAAGTATTTGATGAACAGGTTTTATTATAAAAACGCTTAACCTAGAAATAAATTTGTTACTTAAGCTAAATTTTAAAAATAATTTCAAGATGTAATTCTTGTATCCCAAAGGCCCTGGATATGATTCCTAATCTGTGATAAATTAGATAAAGTCAACTAGGACAGCTCTTGAGCAGCTACAATTGGCTATTGTGATAGAACATAAAAAGCCTAGCAGAAATCTTGCTCTTGTCCAGGAGGAAAACGTTCTCGCATGGAGATTAGGTAAAGACATTGTGGTTAGGGGTATTGCCCATCATTTTCCAGAACCTCCTGATTTACTGAGTGGGTTTTCCTAATTGGGAAAAGATACTTAAAGTGAGGTGCTGAAGGGCATCCTCCTCCCACAAACTATTCCAAATTTGCACTTCTAAGATAAGAAGATTGCAGAAAGTGTGTGTAACCAAAATGTAAATTCTGCAAATATGTATGTATTGCTGTTTGAAGTGAATGCAGTATTTTTATTTGCAAATTTATGTGAACAGAAATAAACATACAACAAAATGGGAATCAACCTGCATAAATAAATACAATGAAACTTAATTCAGTACCAAACTGACAGGATAGTTTAGGAATTGTATACAATGAACCATTGCAAAGTGATAATTGATTCAGTATTTGTAAACACTCTTTTGTAAAGGAAAATGGCATAGCTGCTTTTGAAAAACTATTGTAAAATATAATTATAAATGTAATTTTAAAAACAAGCTTATTGGATAGTGGCATTTTTCATTGTGCCTTATGAATTATAAGACTGGAGGTTTACTTCGTGCTCACGAGCAGAGTTACGGTAATACATTGATTATATAGCAACCTTGTTGGGAAGTGTACTTACCTGGACAGAAAATGGAAGCAGCATCAAGCTTAGATAGATAGAATATACTGCTGCATGGTGAATAACCTGCTTGCAGTAATTGTCTGTATTTGCATGAAGAATGTGCTCTATGCTCTTTCCTTCAAATAAACTTTTGTAACACTATAACAATAAATGTTTACTGAACATTGACCAGAACAGTAAAATGTCACCAAAATCTGTTTTGTAATGTTTACATTGTAATTATGTGCAATAATGCTTCTTTAACAAATACACATCTACATATATACTTGTGATGAAAGCTGTCTTATTCCTATTTTGCAATAATTAATGTTCTTGCAGGTGTATTTTATTATTCTTTGAGTAAGTGTCAGGGAAAATGGAACCACTGAGGCTCCAAGTTGTGTGAATATTTAGCTATGGGTTCAGCTGACTTTTACCCCTTGGCTGAAGAGTTGCCAACAAAAATTTTGTTTAAGGGGGTAATTAAGCTGAGTGAGGAAACTTATTTTGACCCCAGGTGTAGTAACACTCTTGAATGCTCCATCAACTCCTTGCCTAGGAATCCTCGTTCAAAACCTATATTCTTGGAAGTAGTCCATCGTCAGTGTAACCAGTGATTAGTTTAAAACAAATGTGGTGTTCTGCAGCATTTAAAGTTCCCTTATAGAAAATGTTGCAACCGCTTATTCTGAGTAATGTGAAGCATTTAATACTTAAGGCAGCTTTATAATTAGGTGGTGCACTTTAAAAGGCAATAGCTGTAAATGGCATGTGTTCTGGAAATGTTATTTTGTGCAGTATTCAATTTTAAACTCTCTCTAAGTCTTTGAAGTAATGCCAGATTTTCAGTCGTAATTTCCTTTGGATGGTTATGTATTCATTTTGGGATTTTATCGTTTTATAGATTGTATGTATTCTGTATATCTTTCTCCTTTACAAATGCATCACCTTTGGAAGGATGTATTTTTTATCAAACCACTTCTTTGTGTAAAGGCATCATCAGAGTGCAACATACGTTTTGAACAATGCTCAAACTGAGGAAAAATGTTTAATTCAAATCTGGAAATTTAATCCATGGTACTGTATTAGATTTCAACAAAACTGCTATTACTTCCATTTATATAATGCTGCAAATTTACATTTCAAACATTTAAAAAGAAATGTGATTTAAGCAGATTGACATTTAAGTAAAATATCTTTCAATGTGCAGTCACTGTTGCTAAATTGGATATTCTTTCAAACTGGCACATTAATTATTCACTGTATTTACAATTGTTATCAAATTTGTACTATTTTTGAATAAAATCTTGAAATATGAACAATTTTGTAAAACCTGGCTTTCAGTGGAGTTCTGCTATGACACTACTATGTGATGTTTAATTTCACAGTTCTGTCTGTCTGGCTGTCTGTCTGTGCATCTATATATGAGGTAATTCTGAGTTAAAAGACAAACTGTGGTTAGAAAACTGTAGAGGACATCAAGTAACAAATGTGGTCAAGACAGCTGCCATGAATTACCCAATGATTCTTGTATTTGGGGTGGGGGGAGCGGTTTCAAGGAGTAAAACCCTTTTACTTAAAACTCTTAATTTCCAAATTCTTCATTTATGGTAATAGCCCTCTGTGCTTGACCTAACAAGGTATGAAAAACCAGTCTTTATGAATGAAGGAAAATTTTATGAATATAAGTTCATAAGATATTGGGGCAGAATCAGGCCATTCAGCCCATCAACGTCTGCTATACCATATGATCATGGCTGATAGCTCTTTACCCCCATTTTCCTGCCTTCTCCCCATAACCCTTCAACCCATTACCAATTAAAAATCTGTCTAACTCGTCCTTAAATTTACTCGTTGTTCCAGCATCCACTGCACTTTGGGGTAGTGAATTCCACAGATTCATCATCCTTTGAGAGAAGTAGTTTCTTCCACCCAGGTTGATAGCGTTGTTAAGAAGGCGTACGGTATGTTAGGTTTTATTGGTAGAGGGATTGAGTTTCGGAGCCATGAGGTCATGTTGCAGCTGTACAAAACTCTGGTGCGGCTGCACTTGGAGTATTGCGTACAGTTCTGGTCACCGCATTATAGGAAGGATGTGGAAGCATTGGAAAGGCTGCAGAGGAGGTTTACCAGGATGTTGCCTGGTATGGAGGGAAGGCCTTATGAGGAAAGGCTGAGGGACTTGAGGCTGCTTTCGTTAGAGAGAAGAAGGTTAAGAGGTGACTTAATCCTCTGATCATCTTATATGTCTCTATTAGGTAGGGTGGACAGTGGGAGCCTTTTTCCTCGGATGGTGATGGCTAGCATGAGGGGACATAGCTTTAAATTGAGGGGTGATAGATATAGGACAGATGTCAGAGGTAGGTTCTTTACTCGGAGAGTAGTAAGGGCGTGGAATGCCCTGCCTGCAAAAGTAGTAGACTCGCCAACTTTAAGGGCATTTAAATGGTCATTGGATAAACATATGGATGATAATGGAATAGTTTAGGTTAGATGGGTTTCAGATTGGTTTCACAGGTCGGCGCAACATCGAGGGCTGAAGGGCCTGTACTGCGCTGTTATGTTCTATGTTCCTCAAACTCTTTAAATTTTCTATCCCTTATCCTATGACCTGTCATCCTAGAATATCCCACAAGAGGAAGCGTCCGCTCCATGTCTATTTTATCAATACCTTTTATCATCTTGAGTACTCAATTTGATCTCCCTCCATTCTTCTGAATTCCAGAGAGTATAGGCCTAAACTGTTCAATCTCTCTTCATACGACAAACGTGGCATCTCTGGGATCAATCTAGCGAATCTCCTCTGAACCGCCTCCAATGCCACTACATCTTTTCTCAAATAAGCGGACCAAAAATGTGCAAAATGCTCTAGGTGTGGTCTCACCAATGCCTTGTATAGTTACAACAATGCTTCCCTACCTTCTATATTCTATACCTTCAGCTATAAAAGCCAACATTCCATTCGCTTTCTTTACTATCTGCTGTACCTGCCTGCTAGCTTTGTGACTCATTAATGAGGATACCCAGATTCCTCTGCACCGGAGCACTGCAAAGTCTCTCCCCACTTAGATAATAGGTCACCTTCCCATTTTTCTGACCAAAATACATGACCTCCTACTTTATTTGCGTTAAACTCCATTTACCACATTTGGCCCACTCCCCTAACCTATCTATATCCATTTGGAAGGTTCTTATTGCAATTTACCATCCTGCCTATTTTTGTGTTGCCCATAAATTTGGCTATAGAGCCATCTATCCCTATATCCTAATTGTTAACGTAGATTATAAATAGCTGGGGTCCAAGGATGGAACCCTGCGGCACCCTACTAGTTAATTCCTGCCATACAGAAAAAACCCATTTATCCTGACTAAGACTTCTGTCCATCAGCCAGTCACCTACCCAAGATAATAAATTACCCCTAATCCCATATGATCCAACCTTGTGAATTAACCTTTTGTGCGGCACCTTATCAAGTGCCTTCCGGAAGTCCAGATTTATTCCATCTTCAGGATCCCTATTATCAATTTTGCTTGTTACATCTTTGAAGAGCTCTAGCAGATTTAGTGAGCTATGATTTGCCCTTCATAAAACCATGCTGGCTCTGATGGATAGCGTTGTTTTGACTTTCCAAATGACATGATATTGTTTTCTTGATAATTGATTCTAATACCTTGCCAACAGCAGATGTTAAACTAACTGGTCTGTAATTTTCCACATATTGCAGCCCTCCCTTTTTGAATAAGGGTGTTACATTAGCATTTTTTTCCAATTCACTGGAACCTTTCCAGTGTCCAGGGAATTTTGGAATATTGTAATCCAATATCTCTGCGGCCACTTCCTTTAATACCCTAAGATATAGGCCATCAGGACCGGTGGACTTGTGTGCCCTCAATCATAATAGTTTGCAGAGTACCTTTTCCCTATTGATGCTAATTTTTCTAACTTCTACCCTTTCTATGGCCCCTGACTTGCCTGTTCCAATAGGAATGGTACTGTTGTCCTCCACCATGGAAACTGAGACAAAATATTAATTTAGCATCTCTGCCATTTCAGTGTTCCCCACTATTAACTCTCCAGTTTCGTCTTCCAAGGGACCAGCGTTCCCCTTAAGGCCTCTCTTCCCTTTTATATACTTAGAGACACTTTTGCCATCCTTTTTGATATTTTTTGTTGGTTTTCTTTGATAATTTACCATCACTCTTCTTATGTTTTTTTTTGGTTTGAAAGTTTCCCAATCCTCCTGACTGCCACTGGCCTTTGCAATATGGTATACTTTAGTTTTTGACTTCATATTGTCCTTGACCTCCTTGTTTAGCCATGGATGTTTCTTTTTAACCTCCACCCTCTTACCATCTTTCTTTCTCACTGGGATACTGTCCTTAGACAGCTGCCACTGCTCATCTGCTGTCTTACCTTTTACCTTTTAGACTTCCTGCCCAATTTGCTCAGGCCAAATCTGTCCTCATGCCTATGTAATTTCCTTTGTTTAATTCCAGAACACTACTGTGGGACTGTACTTTCTCACCCCCAAACTGAATTTTGAATTCTATCATACTATGGTCACTACTCCCTAGAGGATCCTTAACTGTGATGTCATCAATTAATCTCTCCTCATTACATATTACCAAATTCGGAATAGCCTGCTCCCTGGTTGGCTCCACAACATACTGCTCCAAGAAACAATCTCTGATACGATCAATGAATATGTGATAAGCAGTGAGAACAACAGGTTTCAAACAATAGGTACCAATTTAATATTTTTTATCCCTACCAACTTTCAATTCTGAATCTAAAGCAAACCCATAGCTGTTTATAAATCATGCTTTCATTCTCAAAGTATGAAACTCAACTACTTCCTTTCTCGTTGCCTCTCATTAATTCTTATGAGGATTGCTTGAATGCCACAAAAACAGTCTTCGAATCTCCAATTCTCTGTACAACAGTATCTTGCACCATGGTTTTATTTCTTGTGATTCTCTAAATTCTGAACAAGTTCCTGCTGATTGACAGGTGACCATGTAATCTTACCATCTTTTAAAAAAAAGTCAAAGCGTGACACATTACAGAACTTTGGCTTGATCTCCATTGAAAGGAGAATGTTAAAATCTATTATAACTATAAGTAACTACAGAAGGTTATGTGCACAGCTCAGACTATCACGAAGCCAAATTCCCATCCATGGACTCCATTTACACTTCTTGTTGCTGTGGATTGGCTGCCAACTGGCATAGGTTTCCCATTTTCGGCCTTGTTTGAGCGTGTTTCGCCTGTCAGTGTTTCATG